TCAAGCTTGAGACGCCATGGCCCGCCGACGGAATCTGGGGCTTCTGCAGCTGGGAAGCTTTCGGCTGGAGCATCGCCTACTACTTTGTGAGCTTGGTCCTCTATCGCGTTCTTCCTGCGCAGGAGATGCTCGGCACCAAGTTGGTTCAATCCGGTCGTCCATTGAAGTACCGCTTCAACTGTAAGTTCTCTCAATTCAATTACTCAATGAACCCATCTAACCCGGGAACAGCTTTCAACGCCACAGTCTTCCAGCTCGCTGGCCTGGCTATTGGCACCTACCTTCAAGGCGCTGACTTCGTCGTCTGGACCTACATCTCAGACAACTACCTCCAGCTCCTGACCGCCAACACCATCCTCGCCTACATCATCACCGTCTACGTCTACGTCGCCAGCTTTAGCGTGAAACCCGGCAACCCAGAGCTACGTGAGCTGGCCGTCGGCGGCAACACCGGCAGCCTCATCTACGACATCTACATCGGCCGCGAACTGAACCCTCGCATCACCCTCCCCTTCTTCGGCGAGATCGACCTCAAAGCCTGGCTGGAGATGCGCCCCGGCCTGACCGGCTGGGTCATCCTCAACCTCGCCTTCTGCGCAAAGCAATACCGCACCTACGGCTACCTCTCCGATAGCATACTTCTCACCACCGCCGTGCAGGGCTACTACGTCCTTGAAGGCCAATTCATGGAAGCCGGCCTGCTCACCATGATGGACATCACCACCGACGGTCTGGGCTTCATGCTGACGTTCGGCGACATCGTTTGGGTGCCCTTCCTCTACTCCACTCAGACCCGCTACCTCTCCGTTTACCCCGTCCACCTGGGCTGGGCTGGCGTCGCAAGCATCTTTTCGGTCTTCGCGACGGGCCTGTATATCTTCCGCTCTGCGAATAACCAGAAGAAGGTCTTCCGCACGCAGCCTGATCACCCGAGTGTCAAGGATTTGCCCTTCATCCAGACGAAGCGCGGTACTAGGCTGCTCACCGGTGGATGGTGGGGACGGTCTCGGCATATCAACTACTTTGGCGACTGGCTTCAGGCTTCGCCGTTTAGCTTGCCGACTGCCATTTCCGGCTACCAGATCCTCACTGCTGGCAGCGCCGTGTCTAATGCTATCACGATGCTTGACGGGCGTGAGGTTGTCCAGGGCGCAGCCCGTGGCTGGGGCATGATTTTCACGTACTTCTACGTGCTGTACTTTGCCATCCTGCTTATTCATCGCGAAGGGCGGGACGATGTTGCTTGCTCGGAGAAGTACGGCGAGGACTGGGAGAAGTATAAGAAGATTGTTAGATGGAAGATTCTGCCGGGTGTTTACTAGGAGAGTCTGGAACATGTGCCATCATCAAGTTTGTCAACTAGTTTGGATATCATCAATCGAGCTGGCGCTGAATTTTGGGCTTGGACTGTGGTTCGTACTTGAAATATGCTTCGCGTATGCCTACTACCTTATGTAGCACCGTATTCGAGCAGCATAACCTCAATTTCCTCCGAGATCTCTTTCATGTTTCTCAGGCGGTAGTCGACGACGTTCTCAAAATACCTTCCACAGCCGCGGATAGCCTCTAGACAACGCTTTTGGGCCTCATATCGACATATTTGAAGTGGTGTCATACCACTCAGATGATCGCACGCACGCAGTATAGTACATGTATGCTCTGACTGATCCATCGAAGCTGGATTCCCTCTAGCGTTTGCTTTCGCTCCACTCTCGAGCAGAACTTGTACTGCACTTCCGTCTAAACAAGCGACGGCGATCTGTAGTGGCGTAACCACGAAATCTGGTGCATCTGTTTCCGCACCCAGGCGTAGCAGTACATCAAGTCTGCACTCCTCGGAGCAGACGTCAGACTCGGATGAGGTGCGCTCGAATGGCTCATGGCCGTGTAACGCAACGGAGTCCAGAAGAAGACGGCGAAAGTCGACAGCCTCTCGCCAGTTCTTTAGGAGGTGTTGAAATGCTCCGTTCGCAGGATACTCCGAACTGGTGGCTGCAATGCAACTTATAAGTGGAATATGGAAGTTTTGTACAATCCTCCCTTCCTCAAACCAGTAATCCAGGTGTATAATTGTCTGTAAGAGATTCCTTGCAATGCCTACTTTACGGAGCATGAAGTCAGCTAGCTCGAAAGCCTGCATGCGCAAGAGGTCAAACAGAAGGCGAACTTCGAGTGGCGATGGTTCATAGAATTTGATTTGCGTGCACCGATGAGCAGAATCAATTCCGTAGCCCTCGAGGAGCAAATCCAAGATGTATGGCCCGTCATCTAAAAGTGCCAAATCACGAATTGTTTCCAAAGGCGAGTGGTGCGGAACTGTAAGCATTGTAGCAAGTTCCGCACTCTGTAGGATAACCTCTTCGCATTCGCAGATCATTTTTATGGCTGCGAAATTGCAATACGTTCCAAAATAGAACTGCCATGCGGAGGTCGGAGAAGGTTGATCGTTCTCAAGAGTGCCAGTCTTGCTGATCTTGTACTGAAAGATTTCCGAGGAAACAATGCTCGCTCGTTCGCCTAGGGATGTGAACTTGTCAAGGCGAAAGCAACATTTCGGACTAAACCGAATCGACGTGGCCAGATATTCCATGACAGTGTAATGCGAAAATGAGAGTACTGGTCCGTCATTAAAGTGACAGTCGTGTTCTGCCGTAACAGTGATGAGACAGCCGCATAATTCACGAAGAAATTCGATATCGTAGCGGTAATCTTTCGCACACGGTTTTTGCCGGTTCAAGTCTCCTTGGATTGCTCCGGCTAATACCTTGTAGCTCATCGTTTCATGCCCAAAGACCTTGTTGTTAAAACAAATCCAATCAAGAGCCGAAACCACAATTTGTAGATCTTCTTTAGGTATGGTCTCGAAAATTCTGTCGTATGCTTCATTGAGGGATTTTGGGAGGTTTCTTAATTCGTTCATGATGGCTGCCTTGCTCCCTTTGATTCGTCGCAAAGAATCGAGCTGGCACACAATCCAACGAAACCTGCGAAGCGCATCTATTAATCTCGGACAGACGATGGTGTTGTGAGTGGCACACTCACATTCCTCTTGCGCCAGTACACAAGGCTTCAAGAGCCTCTTTGCGTACATTTTCTGTCCAGTCTTTCAGCTTGTTATTGGTAGCGAGTCGTGATTCAGTATACAGACGTATATCAGCATCGAGAAACTCGTTTTGCATAGAAATTTCCGTCGAAATCTCTTCCATGACTTTTTCGATATCCAAATATTCGCGACTAGTCACTAACAGCCGGATGTTTGAGAATCTAAAGTCGGTGGCGAGGTCTCGTAAAACCTTGAGAAGCTCTTCTCGGGGACTGCTTTCGTCGATAGCGTCAATCGTGATGTGAACACTGTTGAAGTAGCGCGAGGCGGCCTCAAGGGCAGTGAGCAGGTCGCTGAGGCTAGGATCTCTGCCATCCTTGAACATCTTCCAAAGATGGTCTGGGACCTGATCTACTTTTCTACACATACGCTCAAGGACCCATCGTAGAAATGGGGCTGACTCGTCCTGATTGTGCCCGAAGTAGCAGTAGTAATGAACTCCAATCGACACAGAGTCAGTTGACATAGACTCTCGGCAATTCTCTTCGATTTTCTCAGCGAGTTGTGAAGCCAAGATAGTTTTGCCGGCTCCAGGGATACCATGAATCCACAGGCATCGTACATCTCCTTGGCTGAACTGAGCCCACTCTGGAGTACGTGACATCCATTCGCACGTTCCAGGTTCGTGATTTTTGCAAGCTCGGTAGTGAATTGATGACGGGTCAGTGTGGCTGAGCCACTTGTACACATCGTTTCGTTGGTTTTCTAGCCATCAATATCATGATCAGAATGGTAACAGTGGCCATCGTTCAGGAGGTCGAGCGAAACATACCAGTCAGAACTTGTTGGATGCGTGAGGTTTCCTCGCGTATGAGCTTGATGTCTTGGCTAGGTGGTGTGAAGTCTCAGAAGTCTTGCAAGCTAATTGCTTATGATTCTTTAATGAGACGCAGCATTGCCACTTACCTAGACGTTGCGGTCAAGGCCAGACTAATTGTAGTCTTGCACCGTGCAACGTCTTGGAGCAACTTCCTGGCCTTCGTCTCTTTCAACGGCCATGCCAAGTTCCTCAGATTGATCTGCACTTTTCTTCTTTTCGGATCAGGGGGCCCTTGAGCTTGGTTTTGCACGGAGGCCATCAACTTCTCCAGCTGTTCGATGGCGCCATAACACTCTCTAACAGGCTGTGCGTCTCCGTTTAAAGCCTTTCGCAAAGGCGAGCCTGGTTCTTCGAATTTGAGGAGAAATTCGACATTGTGCAAGATTGTCCCTACTGAAGAACATTCGACGAGGATTGTGCGTAGATCGGAGGGTGCATCCCGGACGTTCTCGATGTAGTGTTTGCAGATTGAAACAACTCTATCCGCGATCTGAATAGTTGCGAAGACGCTCGCTATGAGGCCAAAAGCTTCTGCCATCTCTCTGCTTGTGTCGTGACTCACAGCAGTGCCTAAACGATCAATGACAGTGGCGATTCGCACATGCCAACTCGAGGGGACAAGAATGGCGAAGATGGGACCAGACTACGGGCGGAGAAGTCTCGCTTTATGTTACCCAAGACCCTCGAAAGCAATTAGCAGAATACCTAGAAGTGTGCCAAGGGCAGCTGTACCGCAATCAGACGAAATCTAGGCCAATCATCCACGTCCTGCTGGTGATTCGCATCAAAACGATCCATACCATGCATAAGTATGATAAGGCCGGTTTCCTACACAACCGGGAGAAAGGCCTCAAAGCCGATCCATCGACTGGCTGGAAAATTCTAAAGACGTTTCCTTCCACCATTGACGGTTCCCGAATCCGTTATCAATGCAACATCGCCTTGGGGGCTACTGGTTTTTCAAGGCATGTTGACCAATCGAATGCTTCTTGCTGTACGAGGGATTGCATTGCATAATATTTTGTCAAGGGTGTCTATTTCTATCAGGTATCGAGACATGCAAGTAACGCTAATCGCTCACAAATTGCTGGAAATTCTAGTCATGAAGTTGGTCATCAGTTCATCCTCCTTCGGGATCAAGCCAAACTTATCCGCGCTCCTCTCATTCTGAAAGCCCTCATCGGGGCTCGCCCAGCTGTAGCCCTTCCACACGCCCAACTCGGGCCACATCTTCTGCTCCACGAGGGCCTTGAGCTTCTCATACCGCGCCGAAGCCTCGCTGCCAGCAGCAAGACCCTGGAGCACAAGCTTCCACGACTCGACAGTCTGCTCGAGCTCCGCGGTGCTGGTGACGCCCATGACGCTGCCTCCGACGCGCACGTCGCCGGTCTGGCCCGGCAGCTGCACGCCGAGACCAGCTGCGGCGCCGACGCGGGCGTACTCCTCCATTGACCAGTGAAGCGCCACAGTCTCCAGGCGTTCGCCGGCATCGCTGGCGATGGTCGAGAGCTTCTGGCATGCCGAGCGCAGATCATCCGGTGCGGGGTGCCACGACGCGATAACGCCGGCCTTACCCTCTGCAGTCTCCGTCCGCGCGGGAACGCCTGTGGATGTGAGAAGACCCATGCCGAGCATGCTGGCGTTCAGCACGACCTGCACGCCGGCATTGCGGAATCTCCGCAGCGGGCTCTGCTCATCGGTGTGGTCGGGTCCGGCGTCAACCTCTGCGAGGCCGAGCGTGGGGTTCTGGATGGTGAAGTGCCCGTAGCTCAGGATTGCATCAAGGGCCTCACCAGTCTCGGCGAGGATCATCTCAGCCAGACTGCAAAGGACGTGGACGGGGAAACCACTGATACCGACATAGCGGATCTTGCCCTCATCGCGAAGCTGTCTTAACGTCTGCACGGCGGCAAGGACTTCTGCGGGGGAGACAAACTCGACGTCGTGCATGTACACGAGGTCGAGGTAGGTCGTGTTGAGGCGGCTGAGGGAGCGGAGGACAGAGTAGCGCACGTACGCCGGCGAGTAGTCAAACTCGTTGCCGGCGATGCGGCCTGCCTTTGTGACCAGCACGTAGGACTCTCTGGGGATGTTGGTGGCTGCGGTGTGGGCAGCCAGGGCGTCACCGAGGAGGACCTCTGAGGGGCCGTAGTACGGCGATGTGTCGAAGCCGTTGACGCCGAGCTCTAGTGCCCTTGAGACGATTTGCCTGTACGGCATCTGCAGCGGGTCCTTTACATGCTGGGTGTTGAATGTTGCTGTGCCTAGGAAGAGAGGTGGCAGGACGGAGGCGATGGAAGGCCGGGAGGCCGGGTTGAGGCTTGTTGTGGTAGCCATGACTCCTGGAGGAAAGGTGATATGAGAATGAGATGAGAGCTAGTGAGAATGGTTCGATATGCTCAGGGTGTAAAAGTTCGGGAAGAGGGGCGGGAAAGAAGAGGGACTTGTCAGGAAACTATCTAGCCTTAAGACGGGAAGTGAGAAGAAAGGGCTGAGCCGGTTGAGGTGTTTGCTACTTGATATGAGAGGGTCACAACAGGATCGGTCAAGAAGTCTGGTCTAAAAAGCCCGCATGGGGGGCCTCGCAGCTTGCCATGCTCCTTGACTAGGAAGAATTCGTTATTAACCATAACTGATATGTGGGCATTTGAGACCGCTCTTCTCCGTCCGCTTCTATTAGCGTACCCAGAATCCGTGAGCTCGGATTCTCCCAGGGCTAGGCTCAAGCCGCGTACGCTCAAAGAGTACTCGACTCAGTGCCGATACATAGGTAAGGTATTAGAGTATCAACTCGTCAATACTTACGAAGCTGTGTTGCGTGGTGGAGTTTATGCGTGGGCCATCTTGGGCCAAGCCCTTTGGCGCAAGCCATTCTGCCAAGTGAATTTGGACTGATTGCACGTGTCACCTCGTCTCAACTTGCCACAACTTGATAGACAAAAGTGACAGAGTGACAGCAGAACGACAAGTTGGGCAAAGCCGCAAAGAGGGAGAGAGAAGAGAGATCATGGATGGGAGGACCCCCAAATGCAAGAATCCTTGCCAACTGCAATTTTTCTCCTACCGGGCCTCGCCGGCCGGCATAAGTGTGGCGGAACCCCCAGTATCCATGTTCATCTGAGACTTCCCGTTTCAAGCCACCCTCCTTGACTCGTCATCCACAAACAGATCCCCCCGATCCCTGGCGCCAGTCGTACGGTCGCACCAGAAAGCACAGCAGAAAGTTCAGAAACCCAGAAGATGCGGTGTGCTCCATTGCGGACGCTAAACTTGTTTTGTCATATAAACCGTCATTAGCCTCAAAATTTCCAAAACACTCGGCTTTCAGGGTGCGTTGTTCAATTCACTCTCGGGTTTTCCCTCATAATCTTTGCCATCAAGAGAGGCGGGCGGCACTTAACAAAAGCCCCTCAACCTTGGATCATCATCAGGGTCGTCTTTAGCTCGACTTTGCTTCTTCCGAGCCCGGTGTAATAGTTGTTAATTATCATCGTCGAAGAGAGCAGGCTCCGACACTCACAATGGCCGCCGTTGCGTCCCTGGACCCTCACATTCGCGGCATCATCGATGATGCCGCCGCTGATGGCATCCCGTTCCGGGCCAAGTCGGCTCACTTCCACACCACCTGGGCGCGCACCTTTTCATCGCTGCCAGAGCTCTTCATCCAGCCTCAGTCGCAGCAGGAGGTTGAAAAGGCAGTCAAGCTCGCGCGCCGGTGCAGGCGGCGCATCACCACTGTCGGCCATGCACACTCGCCTTCAGACCTCACGTGCACGAGTAACTGGCTGGTCAACCTCGATGGATTCAAGAAAGTATTATCTGTCGATAGTAAGCACAGACCCTCATGTCACATCTCATTCACTCACCCACTCATCCGCGTAATCTCATGAGAGCTATGCTAACGTAGCCCGACAGAGGAGACTGGCCTCGTTGTCATGCAAGCTGGCATTCGGCTGTGGCAACTCACCGAGGAGCTGAACAAGCACGGCCTCTCATTCCCCGTGCTGGGTAGCGTCAACGAGCAGAGCATTGCTGGCGTCATCAGCACAGGAACTCGCGGTAGCACCCTGAAATACGGTCTGCTCTCCGAGGCTATTTCCTCACTCAAGATCGTCCTTGCCAACGGTGAGACGGTCTCATGCTCGCCGGATGAGAACCCGGATCTCTTCCGCGGTGCCACGCTGTCGCTCGGCGCCCTCGGCATCATTACCGAGGTCAGCTTCCGCGCCGTGCCGGCTTTTAGCTTGCACTGGCAGCAGACGATCCAGGCCGATTACAAGATGCTCGATGCCTGGAAGCAGGACAACAAGCTGTGGACCCAGTCCGACTTTGTCCGGGTGTGGTGGCTGCCTTATACCAGGAGGGCCGTAGTCTGGAAGGCCGACATTGTCACAAAGGAAGACCTCGAATCCGGAAAGGAGAAGAACCGAGATCCGCCAGTTGGCTACTACGATGGAGCTCTCGGTTATCACATATACCACAACCTGCTTTACCTATCGCGTTACATCCCTCGCATTCTGCCCTGGGTTGAATGGTAAGCTGAAGCCCCCCTTCCCCTGACACACCTCATCCGACGTCGTCGACGGACTAAACGGACTAACTGACGTCCTCCAGGTTTGTGTTCGGCATGCAATACGGCTTCAAAGATGGCTACACCTCATCAGCCATCCAGCCCATGGATAAGGCCTTGTGGATGAACTGCCTCTACAGCCAATTCGTCAACGAGTGGGCCATCCCGCTCCACCGCGGGCCCGAGGCCCTGATGCGTCTCGGATCCTGGCTCAACAAGCTCAAGCCGGGCGACCCCGACTATGTCGACCACGGCATTCCCTTCTCTGCCGAGGGTCTCTACGTGCACTCGCCCGTCGAGGTCCGCGTCTGCGACGCCACCGTCCACACCAGCGCTGAGCAGCGCAACAGGCCCTTCCTCGACAGCACCGTCAAGGACGGTCCCACGCTCAACCTCAACGCAACAATGTATCGTCCCTACGACCTCGACCCGCCCGGCCTGAAGCGCTGGATGCAGGGCTTCGAGTGGCTGATGCGTGACCTCGGTGGCAAGCCGCACTGGGCTAAGAACTTCAACGTCAAGAACGAGGAATTTGCTGAGTGGTATGGTGATGACATGGTCCAGTGGCGTCGGGTCCGCGATGAGGTTGACCCCGACGGACTGTTCGTCGGACCTTGGCACCGGCAGTTCGTGCTGGATCCCAACAGCGCTCCTCTCAAGTTTGAGGAGTTTGAGAAGACGAGGCATGATGCTGGCCGGGGTGTCACCGTATACGGCACCCGTCTAGAGATCGAAGATGCCGATGCTGATGTCAAGGCATGAGCTACCCTATTTTAGTTAGTATCTGTAGTGTCTGACTGTGTAACTTCTTGGCCCGGTGAATGGCGTGGGCTGTGAAAATTGGCATCTGGATCTTTCCTAGCATTGATTTACTTCCTACAATACAATCACATAGATTTCAAGCGAGACAATTTCCATCACCCTGCCTAGACTGCCCGGAAGCATTTTACATCCAAAGTAAGATTGAAAACAGTTCTTATTCCCAATATTCGAATACGATGAAACATGCAAATCATTGCCTCTTCCGTTGATGCCTCCCTTCCCAGCCAACAATCTTTCTGGTCCCTGAATTTTGGAGCCTTCTCCTTTTCTACGCAGTCGATAACCCACCACTCCATCCACCCCCATGGGCACGCAGCTACGGTAGACGGGGGTAGGATGGGGGTCTTCTCCGTTAGTGCATCCGTCAAAATACTACCTGGTCTGTGGTGTAGATAAATGAAAGTCCGAAAATGCCAGATACGTTCAAAGGCAGCATTTTACGCCGTAATGGTAGGTAGACCCCACACTTGATCCCTCCCCTGTGTGATGCTCAGATCGTCGCCCTTTAATCTTGCTAAGCAAGAAAGACAAGGTAAGGGTCCGTGTTCTCCTGGAGCGAGATCACATAATTCTGGGCACCAAAACCAGACTCCCAAGTTCTAGAATCTCTTTGGGAAGGACAACAAAGTTAAGGAATTCTGGATACCCTTCATCACATCATTCTTCTTTTTTTCTCGCTCGGGCTTTTCTCCAGGGGCGGGCGGCAGGGCATGGTTCAAGTTTTGGTTCGTCGGCCGCGGGACGCGGGTGAGCGGCAATCAGCGAGTTTGATCATCGCACAGAATTCAATGCCGCTCGTATGTTCGTCGGTCGTCCCCCCCCCTTCACCGGTCGGCGAGGACGAGCGCAGACTCTTGTTCTTTGTATCAACGTCGTCGTAAGGCTGCAGGCCCAACGTCGCATTGCGTCGCGATTGTGGGTGCAGACTGCCACTGTTGTGTTGCGCAATCGCGCATTATCTGAAGACCCCTTCGTCTTAGTTGGCGGCATGGCTGCAGCAAGGGGACGCACCAACAGCTTAGTGCTCACGACTCACGGGTGCGCTATATCGCCAGCATCTCCGGGACGTTTGACGAGGTCTTCGGATCGCTGATACCGAATTAATTACTGCCAATGCTGTCTATATTGGAAAATTATCAATTTCAACCTTGTTTGAAGTTCCTTAGCGGTGGTGTCTGAGAGAGAAAAAACATATGAGCATTCTCTTGGGTTATATTAGTCGGAGAAATAAACGAAAAACTCAAAATGATTGAAAATCCAATCTTGCATGAAGATCCGGCCGGTGTTTGCCGGAGCCTCAGATGTTTGCGCACACGCACTGGCAGGCCTAGACACCTCTGTACTCCATAAGGTAAGGTAGTTTGGGATATCTACAATGTAGGGGCTCGTCGCAGCTCCATGTCTTCCTACTGCACCCGGCTGGATATCCGATAGTGATATGGAAAGAAAGCGGCGAATCCGTTCGTCGAGAATGATGCTATCCCTTCCCCTGCGTTGCCGATAACAAACAGATTGCTGGGGGTTGAATCCAGTGTTCTGAACTTCCGTCAAGTCTGTTCCCGAACGAGCGCGCGGCAAGCTCGAGCCACAGCCGGTGGGTTGGCCCTTGGGCTGGGAACAGGATTGTTGTCCACAACATCCACGTACTCAAGGGGTCGTCCTTGCTTGCTTGCGTGTTGTGGAACCTATTGCGTGAAACTGGTAACTGAGCCGCCTTTTGCCCAATGCCCAGTATCACATAATCATGCAGTTTGCGAGCGGTGCAAGGTGACAGAGTCAGACAGTGCCATCTGGCTTTGGGCTGTTCACCGCCGCGTTGCTGGCTGTGTTCCGTCGCCCTCAAGCGCGCCCACTTCCCGACTCTCTGGATTCACCGAAGGGCTGAGCGTAAATCAAGGAAGAAATTTTTCTACCAGAGTAGCACTCAGCCGCGTCAATCCCGTTA